GGGGCAGCGCCCGGCGCCGCAGACATTGCGTACTGGGAGCAGGGTTTGCTGTGGCCAAGGAGGGTGTGGAAGGAAGCGTAGGATGCTTGTTACTTTTTAATTAGTCGAAATTAAAAGAACCTAAGTGCTGGGTTGGAAGCATCCCAGGCAGCATCCCTGTCGCCTGCGTGCAGCAGCCGGAGGGGTGACGCACGCCGTGAGCGCTGGCAGCTCAGCGCTGGGCGAGTGCTGAGAAAATCCCCCCTCGTGCACACCGAGAGCCCCTGCCTGTGCCGGGGACGCAGCCGGCGCAGCCCGTGGCTCTGCGTGTCCCTGGGCTCTTAGTTCAGAACTGTAAGTTCAACGTTTCCAGGAAAATGAGTCGTTCTGGTTTCTAATGATTACAGTGAAGGTTTTTCTAGTGAAGTTTTTTTCTCTTGAGACAGCAGTTTTGGGGATCTTGAGGGAGGCAGCGGTTAGAGAAAACACAAAAACAACAGGGCAGAAGAAATGGAAGCTCAGAGGGGCTGTTAATTTGTGAATTAATCTCTGCCATTAGTGGGGAAGGAGCGGGGCAGGCTGCAGCGGCAGCGCGGGGGGGGGAAAGGCAGCCCCTCGCGTTCACCGTGGGGCAGCTCTTCCAGCCCGGGAGCCGGTGCGCAGGCTGAGGCTCGGCGCGGTGCTGCTGCGCGCTGGGCTGCCGGAGCAGCGGGGGTATTGCATCACTGACATGCCAGGATGACTCTGTTCCTGTGCCTAAAAATAATGCCACGTCTGGGTTTCCCCAGCGTAAACAAAAGGAGCAGTTGATGTGCAAATACGCTGTGTTGAAAGAGAAAAATAGAGCAGTCTTTTTGTTAATCACGCAGAGCTATTTTTAGTGTCAGCTCCAGCCTAAGCAAGGCTTGCAGGCTCCTGGAGGGTGAAACGAGGTCACGCTCCTGCGAGCAGAGTGCTCCGGGTGAGTCAGCTGAGTGACTCCAGGGAATTTGGAAACGCAGCGCTGGCTGGATCCGGGCCCTCGGCGTGGGAAGGAAGGGACGGTCCGAGGGCCCGCGGTCGCTGGGCTCCCCGGCTTGCACGAGCCCTTTCCGAGTGGTGAGAGGCTGTGGCTGGAGCTGGACCAGCCCCTGTTCGAGAAAGCGTGGCTGTTGGATCTGATGTCGGTGGTGGGGGGAGGTGTTGGGTTTAGTCTTTGCTTGTTCCATGAAAACGCAGGGTTAGGAAGGATCTCAAGAGCTAACCCTCTGCATTGAAAGAGTCGAGTCTCTGATAACTGGAACGGGGATTTAGCTCCAGATTTGGAGACTTGTGTGGGGAAATTGGTGGGGGACCTGTTACTGAAGGTGCCTGTTTGAGTAACTGGGGCTCTTCCAGGCAGAGGAAGAGGATTACAGCGAGGAGGAAAGTGCCAAAGTGGAGCTGAAGCAGGATAGTAACGACTCCTGTGAGTCCGCGGCAAAAGCAGAGAAAGGAGATGAGAAACCTGACTCCAAAGGGGCTGTAACTGGTGAGAGGCAGAGCGGGGACGGGCAGGTAGGTGTTGAACATGCGTCCTCTGGGCCGTGGGGAGCTGCTCGCAGAGGGACTGCTGCAGTGGTGAGAGCTGTCTGATTCCGACAGGAGAGCACTGAACCCGTTGAGAATAAAGTTGGGAAGAAAGTTCCCAAGCACCTGGACGACGACGAGGATCGG